TTTTTGGGTCAGGACCCCTACAGTTACAACACCATGACATTTCAAATTTAAATTGCTGCAATCGTGAAATGTACGATTTTTAAAATCCTATGACTGAAACTGGCCAAAATGGACCGCGAATTTGGTAGGGCCCTAACTATGCCATTCTGTCAGTGTACATAGTTTATGCACCCCCTAAGGCTTTTTGTAGTTATAAGATGAGCTAGCAGGTCAAAGTGAGGACTAGACAGGAGCCTGGGGTTTACCTGAACCTGCTAACTCCTATTACAATTACAAACTGCCTTGTCTTCATTAGGATTTTACCTCGTGTTAGTTACCAGATGTTAACTAACACCAGGTAAGAACATGTTTTTTCTAGTGAAGACAAAGCCTTAGAATATTAAGTTCTTTGAGTCAGGGACTGTGTTTTCTGAATTGTTTTTACAGCTGATTTTGGGCACTAGCCCAATATAAATAATAAAAAATAACAGATTCCTTCGCTATAGTCGTGCATTCTGTCCTGCAGAGCTACTGAAATGATATGCAAAGAATCAAATTTAATAAACTGATTATGCAGAACATATGTTGGGACCACTGCACTCATTATTAAAATGCAAAAAGAACAGGAGTACTTGCGGCACCTTAGAGACTAACAAATTTATTAGAGCATAAGCTTTCATGGGCTACAGCCCACTTCATCAAATGCATAGAATGGAACATATGGTAAGAAGATATATATATATACATTCAGAGAAGGTGGAAGTTGCCATATAAACTGTAAGAGGCTAATTAATTAAGATGAGCTATAATCAGCAGGAGAAAAAAACTTCTGTAATGATAATCAAGATGGCCCATTTAGACAGTTGACAAGAAGGTGTGAGGAGGATACTTAACATAGGGAAATAGATTCAATATGTGTAATGACCCAGCCACTCCCAGTCTCTATTCAAACCCAAGTTAATGGTATCTAGTTTTGCATATTAATTCAAGCTCAGCAGTTTCTCGTTGGAGTCTGGTTTTGAAGCTTTTCTGTTAGTATCTAAAGTGCCACAAGTCCTCCTGTTCTTTTTGCGGATACAGACTAACACGGCTGCTACTCTGAAACCTATTAAAGTGCAGGTTTCAGAGGAACAGCCGTGTTAGTCTGTATTCGCAAAAAGAAAAGGAGTACTTGTGGCACCTTAGAGACTAACCAATTTATTTGAGCATGAGCTTTCGTGAGCTACAGCTCACTTCATCAGATGCATACCGTGGAAACTGCAGCAGACTTTATATATACACAGAGAATATGAAACAATACCTCCTCCCACCCCACTGTCCTGCTGGTAATAGCTTCGCTATCTTAAAACAAAAAAACTTCAAATCCAGACTCCAGCGAGAAACTGCTGAATTGGAATTCATTTGCAAATTGGATACTATTAATTTAGGCTTAAATAGAGACTGGGAGTGGCTAAGTCATTATGCAAGGTAGCCTGTTTCCTCTTGTTTTTTCCTACCCCCCCCCTCCCCAGATGTTCTGGTTTAACTTGGATTTAAACTTGGAGAGTGGTCAGTTTAGATGAGCTATTACCAGCAGGAGAGTGAGTTTGTGTGTGTATGGGGGTGGGGGGGATGTGAGAAAACCTGGATTTATGCAGGAAATAGCCCGACTTGATTATGTAAAGAGTTGTCACTTTGGATGGGCTAGCACCAGCAGGAGAGTGAATTTGTGTGGGGGGGTGGAGGGTGAGAAAACCTGGATTTGTGCTGGAAATGGCCCACCTGTTGATCACTTTAGATAAGCTATTACCAGCAGGACAGTGGGGTGGGAGGAGGTATTGTTTCATATTCTCTGTGTATATATAAAGTCTGCTGCAGTTTCCACGGTATGCATCTGATGAAGTGAGCTGTAGCTCACAAAAGCTCATGCTCAAATAAATTGGTTAGTCTCTAAGGTGCCACAAGTACTCCTTTTTTTATTAAAGTGCAGTTATTTCTTGGCTGGAACACCACAGTTTAACTGAGTATAGCAACGCTGCACAACAGTTTAGGACATAATGTCAGAAAAGTACTTTATTCAGTTGAAACTGCAGGTGAAATTTAAGTAGGTACATTGTAATTAACTACCCAAATTGGAATTTGGCCAGCATGCCAGAGTTAACACCTCTACTCTGATGAAAAATGCCAAAGTATCTTTGATAACCACAAGCCATCAGAATATCTTTTGTTATGGCACCTACTGCAGCATAATGCTCTCTGTGGTTAGTGAAAAAACAAAGCAGGAAAAGTGAAATTGCAACAAACCAAACAAATATTTTCAGAGCTAAATGAACCTGATCCGGCTCCCACTGCAACCACAGGGAGTCTTTCCACCTATTACAATGGAAGGTGGAACAGCCCCTGTATTATTCTGAGAGCTAAGTGTGAAAGGACTCTAATAAAAGCAAAAAAACCCACACCTTATCTGTGAAGCTATTAATGTACACAAAGTATCCCACCATCAAACATGGTAAGTCTCCATACCCCAAGTTTCTGTGTCTCCAATAAAAAGTACAGCTTTTTCTCCTTCTCATTTTTGAATCGTGTGGGAGTAGCATGGAAAGCTGCCAGTGAGATTCTCTTTGGGGTTTACATGGCACTAATGTGAGTAAAAATCTGTTAGCTGCTATTTGCTTTTCCAGGGAACATTCTTTCAGTCACTGTTTGTTCCCCTCATGTAAATGGGGCGAAGCAGATACATGGAAATAGCTGCATTTAACACATTAGAAAAGCACATTACTAAAGATTGTTATGAGATTTCATTGGATCACTGTTGAGTGAGCTCAACAAAGAACATACTTAAACAGTAAAATTCCAAAATGTCTTTAATTAAATATTGTCCGAGCAACAAGATTCTGGAGTCTGCCCTCTTCTTTCAGTGCCGAGAATTTATACGGGTAAGTCCCATTAACTCTGGTGGAAATTTCCCATTGAAATCCCTAGAGCTTGTTTGTGGAGGATAGAATATTAAGAATCCACAACTCCAGACCACTTAACCCTCTCATATGCAGTGGAGAGCAGATCCTGAATCCTAATCATGAAAGACGCTGCATTCACTCAACTCCCATTGACATTAGATGAAGTCAGTAATAATAAGGATACTTAGCATCTTTAATTGCACGTTTTGTGTCAAGGCACTGTAGAGACATTAACTAGGTGGAAGTTCATGGGAGCTCAGCACCTCTTACACTGCCCTCAGCATATAGGATTAGGCCCTGAGAATCCATCTGCTCCCAAATCATATATTTAGATATCTGTTTCTTTATATAGTTCATACATACAAGATAACTGTGTTCACTGGCAATATCTATGGCGCTGGGACAGATGCAAATGTTTTCCTGACTATATATGGAGACCTCGGGGACACCGGGGAGAGAAAACTCAGCAAGTCTGAAACTAACTCCAACAAGTTTGAAAGAGCACAGGTAAAGATGAAACTGATTGATAAAATTTTCCAATTGCAGGCCTTAAGCAAAGCGATGAACAAATGTTGTAACTGCTCTTCCCTAATGGGAAGTACCAGTCTGCAAGGATGGTCAGAACTGATGGATCATATTTATTACCTCTTAAAACATTACATTTTCAATTTAATGCTGGTATTTATGTACTACAATGATAGGCTCTATAGCAATCCCTAAGATGGACAAGATCTTTCTTTGCTTGGAATCAGTGAGATAGGGCCAGTCTGGCCCATACCAAGCCTCCTATATTTCAGCTGCAAAACTGGAAGTATTCAGTGCTTAATTTTTGCCAGGGCTAAGCATGGGCACCTCTTGGCTTGGCGGTTCATAGCCCCGGCACCTGTGGGCTTGCTGCATCCGTTATGAAAGTAAACCAATTGCTTGAGCCCGGCACCTCTTTCATTACAAATTAAGCATTGGAAGCACCAATAATTGAGGGCATGGTTACCATCCCTTGAGTTGATTTGTATCTCCTAAAAGGGGGGCAGCTTTGGTGAATCTGACTATAATGTGTATTATAATTAATATTGGGGCATCATCTTACGACAGCTTTTTGTAAGCTCTTAACGTGTGATTCTACTGTGAGAAGTGATGTAAAAATGGCACTAGGTTGTTCCATGTTTGTCACTCCATGATTTCCAGATCAGTGTGCTCAATTTAAAAGTTACCAACAGCCAGCCCTGCAGACTCCATATTATATCTGAGGGTATGTCTACACTGCAAAGAAAACCCACCCACCAAGTCACAGAGCCTGGGCCAATCAACTTGGGCTTGTAGGCTCAGGCCGTGGGACTAAAAATAGCAGTATAGATGTTCATGTTCGGGCTGGAGCCTGGGCTCTGTGACTTTCCCTGCTCACTGGGTTTTAAAGTCCAGCTCCAGCCCAAGTGGGAATGTCTGCACTGCTATGTTTAGCCCCGGCTGCAGCCTGAGCCTCGTGAGCCCAAGATAATTGGCCTGTTCTCTAAAACTCGATGCCATGGGTTTTTCTTTGTAGTGTAGGCATACCCTGAGAGTCAAGCAAGTTTCTTTCCTGCTAATTTCACTAGCAATTGCGTATGCATAATAACCAAGTGCAGAATTTTCTCCATTGTCTCCAGTGTGTTGCACCAGGTATAAATGATGGCAGAATTTGGAGCTGCAATTGAAATGTAGTTAACAGTTCAGTTGTTGTGTTAACCAGAGGAGAATCCAGCTCACTTTCTCTTAGCTCTGTTGTCCTTGGCGAGCTAACAGCAGTAAACAGTAAAATTTTACTTTTGACACTAAAGTCAGCAGATACCAGCTCCAAGTGCTCAACACATATATTCCCTTTGAGTAAGAGGGTGAGTTTTTACATAGTCATGTTCACAGCACAACTGCACTTTAAACCTCTCCCTCTCAGGACAGTTTTAATGGACACAGAATCTTTTACAGACAACTCTGCTGCAGCTTTTAATCAATTACTGTCCAGTAAGGCTGGGTTTACACATGCATTGTACTCCATTGTATACATTAGCTATTGTCCATTGAGAGAAACTATTGCTATTAAACATCCTGTAGGAGGATAAGTTCACAATACAGGCCGTGGACCTGGGCATTATATACAAGATCAAGATTCGTCATGACAACACCATGCTGAATGCTGACTGGTACCTGGAAAAAGTAGAGATTCTGGATGAAACCACGGAAGAATTGTACCTCTTTCTGTGTGAGCGCTGGCTTTCTACAAAGAAGGAGGACAAAAGGATAGAGCGGACACTTTATGAACAGGTACAGTAACAACAGCTAGCGCAGTGATCCTGACCCAGGCTTCTGAGCACTATCACGTTGCTGCTAATAAAAATGAGATGCATGGCCTTTCATCTGGTTGCAGTCCAGCACAGCTCATGAGTGGCCTGACCATGTTACCCCCTGAAGGTTGTGTTTTGGCCTACGTAAAATGAATTGATGGTTCTCTCTCTGGTCCTCCATCACTGACTTCTTTTGTTTGCAGTCTCAGTGGAGAGGCCAAGGACTGAATGGTTAGTGGAGACTTACCCTCTTCAGATCAGGAGCCAAGTGCACTGGCAGGGCTGGGTAGAGAATTCTGCACTGTTGCTGCCTGTGCTGTCCCTACCCAGCGGATAAGTAATAGATTTCTCTCTCTGGAGTTATCAAGCCAAAATTCCAGGTTGCACGGCCCCTGCCTCTCCACCCATCAATCCTAATCATCGAATAGGGCAGCACCTTTCATCAGCACTAAAAATATGCAGTAAAATGTCCTCTTACCAGCGCCTGGAAAGGCTCCGTATGTATTGTTTAATCAGTCTAATACAGCTAATTAGAATTCAGAGTACATGTATTAATTAAAATTAGCAAACAGGATTAAGTTAATAGGCGCTTCTTCCCTTTACACAGGAAGGCACAGCACTGCAGCTGATTAACGTCTGTTGTGTTTAAGGGGTTTGCTTTACAAAACATAGTTACATTTTAATTGAAAGTTACTACTAAAATTATCCAAACTCATCCCAGGTATAGTACCAGAGAGGTAAGCAGGGATGATCCTGGTGCCTTGCATCTAATATAATTACAGTTCCCAGCAAAGAGTCCTCTGAGTTCTTGTGGTCACACCCACCAAATTGCTCATATTAATTCCTTTTCAAAATCAATTAGATAAAAAAATGAAATGGTTGTGGGGAAGTATTCTCATGTTAACTGGGCTATGACACAAAACCCATCTTCAATAACTGTTCTAAAAATATAATAGCTTTGACATTTAGGATTATTCAGCTTTGTAGCTTTTGTTTGACCTTTGACTTTTGTGTAGTGTGGATCAACTAGTCCAACAGCTACAGTGTATGTCTTGTTCAGCAAATCTGCGGCTACTCTACCTGTCTACCTTGCCTGTGGTCATTGCTCTCACATGCTGTGTAGCCAAGTCACAACACATCTTTGTTATGTACATTAAGCGCATGCCAGTGGCCTTCATTGTAGCTGTCAGGGTTCCCTCCCCACTCTGAACTCTAGGGTACAGATGTGGGGACCCGCATGAAAGACCCCCCTATGCTTATTTCTACCAGCTTAGGTTAAAACTTCCCCAAGGCACAAATTCTTTGCCGTTGGAGGATATGCTGCCACCACCAAGTGATTTAACAAAGAATAAGGGAAAGGACCACTTGGAATTCCTATTCCCCCAAAATATCCCCCCAAGCCCTTATACCCCCTTTCCTGGGGAGGCTTGAGAATAATATCCTAACCAATTGGTTACAAAGTGATCATAGACCCAAACCCCTGGGTCTTAGGACAATAGAGAAATCAGTCAGGTTCTAAAAAGAAGGATTTTATTTAAAAAAAAAGGTAAAAATCACCTCTGTAAAATCAGGATGGAAAATAACTTTACAGGGTAAAAAACGATTCAAAAACACAGCAGAACTTCCTCTAGGCTTCGTTTCAACGTTACAAAAAACAGGAATAAACCTCCCTCCAACAAAGGAAAAATCACTAGCAGAACAAAAGACACACCTTGCCTGGCTTTTACTTACAATTTTTGTAATATGAGAGACTTTTAGGATGGTTTATAGGAGAAGGAGTTTTCTGACCTGATGCTTCTCTGCTTCCCGAGAGAACACACAAAACAAAGCCTCCCCGCCCCAACCCCCCGCCAAGATTTGAAAGTATTTTCTTTCCCCATTGGTCCTTTTGGTCAGGTGCCAACCAGGTTATTTGAGCTTCTTAACCCCTTACAGGTAAGGAGGAATTCTAGGCTACCCTTAGCTGTATGGTTATGACAGTAGCACTCATGGAAATGGTGGAGGTAAGGTCATTACAGTAAAGTAAATGGATGAGCTGTAATAAATGATGAGGAGTCATGCTCATGAGAGCTGTACTCAGGAAAAACTACATGGAGAGATAGAGGGATTTCATGTTATGTTGTTTGAGGCATATAGGAACAGCTGGCAGTGCAGTGAGCACTGAACCTGGTTACCTTCACATGTGTGTGTTCTAATTAGAGCTATGATGGTGAACGGAACAGCCTGGGTGGCTCATCTCTCAGCCTGAAGAGCCAAGATAGAAATGCAAATGTGAAGAATAAGAAGAAACTCAGCTTGAACGGGTCTGCCCAGGAAGGCTCATGTAAGAGAACTGTGTGTGTGTCTGGATGCACGTGTGTGTTCTTGATTTGAGTTCTTTGGGCCATGTGTTTATAGTGGTGAAGACCAAAGTGGGGCAGAAAGGTAAATTGTTCTGGTCATCCTGCAGCTGTACCCCCTGGGGCTGTGATCCTATGGGATCTCATAAACTCAGCAGAATCAGGCTGGATCGGTGCTTGGATCTGTTTGTGTATTGCTATTTCTATAGTGGTCTTCACCATAGCAACTGAATAATCCTGCACAGTAAAAGGCACTTCCTATACTTCCAGACTTCTTATTTCCCTCCCGCCTAAATCTAGGTTATATAGCGCTAGAGCCCGGGGATTGAGTCCTTCATCTCCTGTGAAAACAAATTCTACAAGCAACGTGTTTTGTGTGACATGAGCACATAACTAGATAGATTCTCCAAGAACACCCTCTCCACAACCACCCTGAGGTGAAACCTGCACGGGGGACTTCTAACACAAACCCAGAGCTCCTTAGGAAGCAGTATGACTGGTTCATAGGGGGTGCTCTTTTCGTCAAGTCTGTGTTGACTCAATACTTTCTCATGGTGTTGCTGAAGGTGCTGTCTTTTGCATGAAACTCTTGGTGGGCATTAAAAATCCCATGACTCTCTTGTAAGAGTTGGGGTGTTAACACTGATATCCTGGACAAATTCCAGCTCATGCAACTGCATTCTGACTCCTTAAAATCCCCCCTGCATTTTAATTTGGAAAAGGGTTCTCACTTCCCCTTTCCTAATCTGCAGTGTAATATTACTGTCAGCTGCTAAACAGCTGCTGTGTTTCATGCGTTGACTAGGGAGGTGGTGGAATCTCCTTCCTTAGAAGTTTTTTTTAAGGTCAGGCTTGACAAAGTCCTGGCTGGGATGATTTAATTGGGGATGGGTCCTGCTTTTGAGCAGGGGGTTGGACTAGATGACCTCCTGAGGTCACTTCCAACCCTGATATTCTATGATTCTATGATTCTATGTGTGCATTCGGTTGTGGGCAAAGTGATCCCTGCGTATATTGTTTGTTATCATTTGTTAAGCACTAATTGTGTGATTGGCTTTGTGCAAAACTCAGAAGAAGATATCATCCCAGGCACATGGAGCCTCCTTCCAGCCAATGTCACCTTGATATCTAAGTATAATGCCCTGATCTTGGATGGGTGACCAGGGCACGGGGAACCTCACATATTCCACTTAGCACCTACTGGCTCAGGGACCAGTGGCCTCAATACCCCTGAGTGCTAGGATAATACAAGAATGAAGGAAAACCCAGGCAGTCACTGGCCCTCCTGGGGTATAATAGCAGGCATGTCTAGATGGTTGTGAGAAGGGCAACACCTCCACTAGACTTGTAGCCAATCAAGGGGGAGCAGCCAATCGTCTAGACTCACAGGATTTGAGACAGGCAGCTAACCCCTTAGATGAACAGGGCTTTTTGGGAAGACAGCCACCTCCCAGGCACACAGAATCATGCACCAGTTCCCTCCTCCACCCTCACCTTCTGGATACCAAGGATTTGAGACGGGGAGAGGAAAGGCAACTTTCTGGGAGGGACAGGATTGGTGGAAGAAGTTGTACAAGGCATATATAGTTTGTGCATTCAAGTATGCAAAGCTCTTTGAGATCCTTTGCCATGAAAGGGGCTATATGTATGTAAGATGTGTTATCACCAAGTAACAGCCTCTTCTGTACGGGTTAGAGGATCGATTTCCAGTGAAGACTTTTACTTGCTGCTTGTATCAGATGCTCTTCCCAGCTCTTGCTCTCTCCCTTCTGAGGCCTCATGTCCTATGTGGCACATTAGATCTAAATTAAACTCTGTGGGCCCTGAAATTCTGTGGCACTGTTTGCCACCCGCTACTCTTATCCCATTCAAGACCCCTCCCTGCACGGCACAGTCAGTACAGTATGAATGGCAGTGTTTAGTTAATTTGATTTTCAATTCATTTATTTTAATCTGCCCCCAGATTTTCAGATTTTGCATTGCAGAAGCTGGCAGGCTGGTGATTTCATAGAATCATAGAATATTAGGGTTGGAAGAGACCTCAGGAGGTCATCTAGTCCAATCCCCTGCTCAAAGCAGGACCAACCCCAACTAAATCATCCCAGCCAGGGGTTTGTCAAGCCTGACCTTAAAAACCTCTAAAGATGGAGATTCCACCACCTCCCTAGGTAACGCATTCCAGTGCTTCACCACCCTCCTAGTGAAATAGTGTTTCCTAATATCCAACCTAAACCTCCCCCTCTGCAACTTGAGACCATTGCTTCTTGTTCTGTCTTCTGTCACCACTGAGAACAGCCGAGTTCCATCCTCTTTGGAACCCCCCTTCAGGTAGTTGAAGGCTGCTATCAAATCCCCTTACTCTTCTCCAGACTAAATAAGCCCAGTTCCCTCAGCCTCTCCTAATAAATCATGTTCCCCAGCCCCTTAATCATTTCCGTTGTCCTCTGCTGGACTCTCTCCAATTTGTCCACATCCTTTCTGTAGCGGAGGGCCCAAAACTGGATGCAATTCTCCAGGTGTGGCCTCACCAGTGCTGAATAGGGGGGAATAATCACTTCCCTCAATCTGCTGACAATGCTCCTACTAATGCAGGCCAGTATGCCTTTAGCCTTCTTGGCAACAAGGGCACACTGTTGACACATATCCAGCTTCTCGTCCACTGTAACCCCTAGGTCCTTTTCTGCAGAACCGCTGCTTAGCCAGTAGGTCCCCAGCCTGTAGTGGTGCAGGGGATTCTTCCATCCTAAGTGCAGGACTCTGCACTTGTCCTTGTTGAACCTCATCCGATTTCTTTTGGCCCAATCCTCCAATTTGTCTAGGGCCCTCTGTATCCTATCCCTACCCTCCAGCGAATCTGCCTCTCTGTCTTTAAAGGCTCTCTTCCCAATGACAAAGGCTAGAGACTTAATTTTTTAAGAAAGTGAAAGCATTGATTATGGAGCATAATTGTAAACCAGCTGCTTTTAAAATGGGGTATATTGGGGGGCCATTTATGCACCTTCATGATCTCAGTATGCATGGGCCCTGACAGTATTTTGCTCTGTGTTTATAAAGCACCTGGTCACCGTGGCATCTGTACAAACATGCAGCATTTAACAGCCAAAAAACCACGGCTAGTGTTACTGGTTCTCCTCTCTTGCTTTTTCCATTTTCAGGCTTAGGTTATGAATCTGATTTTATGTTGCCCAACCCACCCTGTAACCTACTTGTCTTGGTGCCACTCAGATCTACCTCTTGTTCTGCACTCATTCCAGGATGAGCAGATCCAGTGTTGTGCTTGTGAAGGAGGTGTACTCACCACCTGTAGCACGCCCTTGTATCCGGGTGCAGTGCTGCAAGGATCCTCGTCTCCAGTGCCTCCAACTGGCTGTCTGCCTCTTGCCATGTCTTCCGTGCCTCAGCTCTCTAGCCAAGTCCCAGGAAGTTCAGTCATATCACTGTCAGCTGGGGTGGTCATAGGCAAGGCTGAGCCTGGCCTTAAAGGGCCAGCCTTCCTGTGACAGTGCTGCAATGAGAAATAAGTGAGGTCATTCTGTAATTCGCACCTTCCTTCTGATACTGCTTCCTCAGCGGAGGAATGAATAACTGCCTTGCATCCATCATCTGGGCATTCCATGGAATTTCCCAAATCACGTGTAAAATCTCAATGTCTTCCATTCGGCACCATCGCTAATGGAACTGTAATGGTTTCCGTGTTCTTTTGCAGGTATAGCAACTTTTAGGCCTCCAGTACTTTCAATACCTGGAGAAGTACCACATCCCCAATAAACGAGAGAGGTTGTCCCGTGCCCCAGAGGAACAAACAAAGACGTTATTTTGTAGTGGTCAGGGCACAGGATTGCAAGCCAGAATGCCTCTGCTTAAGTCATTGGATACCCTTGGGCAGGTCACTGAGGCCCAGATTCTTAAAGGTTTTTAAGCATGTGCTGTGCTCAGTGTTACAACACCTAACTGATTTAGGAGCTTAAATCTCATTTTCAAAAAGTATATAGGCACTTAAGAGACAAAATCCCATGAACAGTCAATGCGATTTAGGCTTCTGGGAGCCTAAATCACTTGTAAAAAAGGAAACCTAGGCTCTTATATGAGTTTGGCATTGCAACGCTGAGCACAGCAATGCTTAAGTACCTTTAAAAATCTGGGCATTAACAACTCTCAGCTTATCCGTATGTAAAATGGGGGGTGATAATACTTTCCTAGCTCACGTGTGCTGTCAGATTTAATGCTTGTAAAGTGCTTTGAGTTCTTTGAATGGAGCATGCTATTTAAGTTCTATATAGTATTAGCAGTAATTGTATGAAGAAAGCCATTTTAACCTACCACAGGATGACAGAATGAAATGGTCTTCCAGTGGAAGCACTCTCCAAAAGGAATTCAGAATACTCTTTAATTAAGGTGGGAGGCTACAGCTTGACATGTCTTGTGGTGTGTGTCAAATGTATGTAACCCACATTGTGATCTTTTCGATGAAGAGGTGCCATCATTGCATTGCTTAAACAATTGTACTACAGTGAATTCATTGCACGCTCATTACACTGATGTGCACAATTAAGCATAATTGGTACTGTATAGTGTAGAATAATTCTTGCCTAATGTTTAATTCACTTCTGTGCTGTTACAGTCAATTTCAGAAGCCTGAAATTGGGGTTGTATGAAACTCATTGGTTTCAGCTCACAGAGGAAAGAGCAGATTTAATTTGCATGAAGTCATGCCCCGGTGTAAGTTTCAAGTTCAAACCAAAAGCAAAAACTTGATCAACACCACTGTGCTAGAATCATAGAAATGTAGGGCTGGAAGGGACCTCCAAAAGTCATCCAGTCCCGCCCCTTGTATTGTAGCAGGGCCAAGAAACCTAGACCATCCTTGAGAAGGGTTTGTCCAACCTGTTTTTAAAAACCTCAGTGATGGGGATTCCACAGCTTTCCTTGGAAGCCTGTTCCAGAGCTTAACTACCCTTTATGGTTAGAAAGTTTTTTCTAATATCTAACCTAAATCTCCCTTGCTACAGATTAAGCACATTGCTTCTTGTCCTACCTTCAGTGGACATGGACAGCAATGGATCACGGTCCTCTGCATAGCAGCCCTTAGTAGATTTGAAGACTGTTCTCAGGTCCCCTCTCAGTCTTCTTTTTTCAAGACAAAACATGCCTAATTTTTTTTAAAACTTTCCTTATAGGTCAGGATTTCTAAATCTTTTATCATTTTTGTTGCTCTCCATGGGACTCTCTCCAATTTGTCCACAATTTCCTGAGGCGTGGCACCCAGAACTGGACACAATACTCCAGCTGAGGCCTCACAAGTGCCGAATAGAGTGGGACTATTACCTCCTGTGTCTTACATACAGCACTCCTGTTAATACACCTCGGAATGATATTAGCCTTTTTTCCGCATTGTTGACCCATATTCAATATGTAATCCACTGTAACCCCCAGATCCTTTTCAGCAGTACAGCCACCTAGTCAGTTATTCCCCATTTCGTAGTTGTGTATTTGATTTTTCCTGCCTAAATGAAGTACATTGCACTAGTCTTTATTGAATGTAATCTTGTTGAATTCAGATGAATTCTCCAATTTGTCAAGGTCATTTTGAATTCTAATCCTGTCCTCCAAAGTGCTTTAATCCCTCCCATCTTGGTATCACCTGCAAATTTTATAAACCTACTCTCTACTCGATTATCCAAGTCATTAATGAAAATATGGAAACCTTAAATCAGTCCAGAATCACTTGAACCTCGGCCAAGTGTTACTCAAAAGATTTGTGAGCCTTGCTTCCTGTAACTGGGCCTCAGTGGGTCACAACTGAGGATGCCAACTTCAGGACAAACTGCTGAGAAACAGGGGAAACACAACCTAAAACTGGTGGTGGTTATTCCATGAAATATACCAAACCAGCAACAAAAATAAACTTCTGTTTCACGGCACTGGCTACCAAGAAGTCATAAAAGCAGTTTCCTTGGGCAGTTCAGTTCTTATGTCACCACCAAAATCACTGGATTTAAAGATGAGTGGTTCTTTACAACCAGTCTCATCAAATAAAAGGTTCTTCTGATCCCAAAGGACCGGCCACACACCCAGGTCAATATATAACTTAGATATTACCCAAAAATCACACTGATGCCAATCCTTTAGTATCTAAAATCGAAAGGTTTAATCATGAAACAAAAGAAAGAAAGGCAAGAGTTAAAACTGGTTAAAGGAATCAAATACATACACCAATTGCAAAGTTCTTGGTTCAGGCTTGTAGCAGTGATGGAATAAACTGCTGGCTTGTTAAGTCTCTGGTTGCTTCCAAATCATTGGAAGGACCTCAGTCCCTTGGTTAGAATGCTTCCATTAGTATAAGTCCATAGTCCAGAGGTTTGAGCAAGACAGAGGCAAAATGGAGCTATTTCCAGGGCCTTTTATAGCTTTTGCCATGTGGAGGGAATCCCATTGTTCTCACTGTGGAAAATTACAGCAACAAGATGGAGTCTGGAGTCACATGGGCAAGCTATATGTCCATGCATTTTGCTTAGTCACAGCAGGAGATTCCATTAAGTGTAGATGGGCATCTCCCATGGTCCATTGTCAGTTAAATGTTCTTTTGATGGGCCACTCAATTTGAATAGTCCCTCCAAGATGTGCTGGCTACCTACTTGTGGGCATTACCCCAGGGGCAAACATTTGAAATCCAGGTACTGAGCCAATACTTATAACTTCAAATACAAAAATGATACATGCATACAGATAGCATAATCATAACCCATAGACATCTTACATGACACATTTTGTACAAGATTTGTTGCAAAAATATAACAGTGGTTGCAACAATGATCTATATCGTCATATTTTAGTCAGATAATGCCACCTCCCTCCCCTCTCCCCAAAAAACCAATCTGTTGATTAACCTCGGCCAAGTTTGGAGTTTGTGCTGAGGTACATTTCACAGAGTTTTGAACATATTTTGTTGTGAACATGTTGTACAGCTTGGCGTGAAATGTTCTGAGAAGTCATAGGTGTATTCATCATCTTTCTCTTCATCATCCAACAGACGTACCCAAATGGGCTCTTGGAAACCACTTGAAAAGCAGCCTGTCACTGGAGAAACAGCTCTTCCTTACTAACAGCTGAGCTGAAATGTTTCAAAACCACTATAAAACTACCTAGGGAAGCTCCGAAGCTATGGTCTGAAGGGTTTTTTCCCCAAATATATATTATATAATGTATAAATATTATTCAGTGTCTAACCTTTAATATGAGAACATTCATAGTTTTCCTTGACTATGTAAAGGGACACTGGAGCCCTGAAAGTGCCCCATGTATCAAAGTGATCCTTGAATAAAGAACAAGGAGGAACTACAGTGGTACTGGGGATGTTCAGTCAATGATTCTGTTTGACTTGGCGCTAACAGAGTTTTTTGTGGCTTTGTTATCCTATGAGTGTGTGAACTCTTTGGTCTGCTGGCCTATTTATGATGTAGGGCCTGAGTCTTGTTGACACTAAGGTCCCTTAATGTAAATCAAAACCAGGCCCTTAGTCTACACAGGAAAATTCTGCACTGAAATGCACCCTATGTAACCTTATGGAAATGAATGGGTTGCGTGGGAGGTAAGTGAAGGCAGAATTTGGCCCTGTGTGTGTGTATATGGGAAAATTTCCCAGCACACATTCATAGCCCAATCCTGCAAGGTGATGTGCATCTCACAGATTGAGATTACTCAACACCTCTCAGGAGGCACTTTTAGGATTAGACTATTGGCACTTGAGATGTTGGTACCCTTGCGTCTCTGTACACGTTTTCTGATTAATGGAACTTTGTCCTTTGCAGTGATTCCATATCACCTCATCATCACTACTGGCACAGAATATGATTCAAGCACCGAGAGCCGAGTTTACATCATCATTACGGGTCCTCAGAAAGTGCAGACAGGCAGAATGTGGCTGGATCTCCTGAAAGAAAAGAAACAGTTTGCTGATGGCTCCGTGGAGAAGTTCTCTGTTATGGGATTAGATGTTGGGGAGATCAAAAAATTGGAGGTACTGTGTGAACAAAGAATGGTCATTGGAGCATGTTTCACCTATCTTCAGTATAGTTAGAAAAGGCCAAAAGAGGAGGTGTTTGGATCCAGAATAGAAAATGGGGTTCTCTCAAGTTGTTCTCTCACAAGATTTCAACTACACCCAAACCAGAGTCAGCAAATAAGTCCCTTCTGGTTTTGGATCAGACTTAGAACCAAGACTTCAGAGGGCAGGTTCAAAATCTGCAAAATTTAAATGCCTTTGACATTGATGTCCCAGTTTTGTCCCATCTCTAATAAAATGACAGTTGCTCTTCCATAAGACGGTTGTTTTAACATCTTCAAAGTAAATTTGTTTTTTTATCTGGTGCAGTTATAATTTATCCACAGGTACAGTAAAAATAGGCCCAGGGATTTCCCTACACCCCCCCATGGGGGTGTTTACCCCCTCTCCTGAATTTCCCCAACACCCGCCCCAGTTTTGTGAACTAGTTACATGCAGTGTTGCCAATTTAGTGATTGTTTGGAAATGTGAATTGAAATCGAAACATTGATACACACTTTAAAAGCATATGCAGTGTATGATAAAATACGTGTATCTGAAAAAGTATAACAGATTTGAAAAGTATGAACGTAGACTAGCTTCCTTGTACAGCTGTTTATGACAATGTCAGTGATTCATTTCGGTGATGTTGGCCAACCTAATCATTTCAAATTATGATTTGTAAGCAAAGTCTAAATGAGCTCTCCCTGACAGCTAGTGATGAGCTGGGGGCTGGAGGGAAAGGCTTCAGGACCAGACTGTATTTACATTCACACCTAATCTACCTAGGTATCCAGCAAACAGAGCTGTGTTGCCCAAGTGATAGATTTTGGCTGGGGTTGGGTTACAAATCACTTGAAATCAGGGGGGTAATGAAATGTTGTTATTCTTATTGTATGAGTAAAGGGCAGTAGCACTGTACTTAGCCTGTGCTGATTGAGGGCATCACGAGAGAGGGTGGGGATAGGTGTTTTGTTTGATGGTCTGCCTGAGTCACAAGTACTGTTAGACCTGCCCCTCTCCACTGTTTAAAGACAGAGCTGATTAGGCTCCATAGATAGTCTTTGTTTTGTTAAATGACCACTACAGCTGAAATCACTGATAATCAGGTCTAAATGCTTAGACCTGCTGTGGGACAGTGTTTCTGTGGAAGAGACAGCCCAGTCTGCACTAACAGTGAGGTTCCCCCACTGAGAGCTCAGCTAAAATCACTGAGAGCTGGGTGGAACCTCAAGAGACCAACTCGCAGAGGTCACAGTGGCAGGTGGCAGCAGAAGATGACGGCACAGGGCCATTGGCAACAAAGCGATGGAGTGAATGGTGGCACAACGAACAACAGTGGCCAGAGCGAACAGTGAGCAGCTGGAGGAACGAGCAAGGTGCCTTCTTGCCCCCCACCTAGGAGGTGAAAGCACCTCTGAACTCTGAGTCTCCACTGACCAAGGACAACACCAGTGAGTGATAATGAGGCTGTTACTCAACACAGTTCTTGCGAACAAACCGGGCCGTGGCACCATACTTTCTATTTAAGCAAGAGATACCACACACTATAGACTGGAGCCCAATGTTAAGTGCATTGTCACTTGTTCTGAAGTTGAACACTGGTTCCAAACAAGACCAGCAAATGTTCACTATCTTTCTGCAAGAAACTCAACTGACTGGCTAGACGCATGTGGTGCAACAGTGAAAGACTCAACAGTTGAAAAAGTGAAGAACTCTCTCACCACATTCAAAAAAATTGCATACGTGGCTTATGAATGCACCAATGCAAATGGTCACCAAGTATTAAGTCATTGTGTACGTTATCTTGATGTCAGTGGTAGGCCAGTAGATGCATTTCTAGATGTTCAAGTTATAGAAGATAGATTGGCTGCATCTGTGACAACCCACATCTTAGAAGAGTTAACTGCTTGTCAATTGGACCCCAAACAGATGGCTGCTTGTGCTTTTGATGGAGCTGCAAACTTCTGTGGAAGACATGGTAGAGCATAAGCTTTGCTCAGATAGAAGTGTAACCCTAGTCTCTCCTATACACACTGCAGAGGCCATCTACTCCAACTAGCACTAGTACAAGCTGCAGACTCTTCAAAAGACATTAAAAAAGCTATATATTTAATGTCTTCATTATATTCTTTTTTCTGCAAGAGTCCAAAAAGACTGAATATCTTGGAAAATATAGAAGATACACTGGGACTGAAGTTCAAATTAGTCCAACATTTGGATCAATCAGAGAGCTGTCCATTGAAAAAGACTTCAATCCAGAAGTTGACTAATAAAGGCATTTATACTGAATCATTAAGTGAAGAGGACGAGAAGTGTTTGTTAAGACAACTGAAAAAGTACACAGACTTGATTCTTAAAAATCTACAACAGCAACTTCTACATTCTACTCAACCTCTATGTAGCTTTTACAGATCCCTGTCCTATAAAACACTGACAGTTGTGTGGAGTGAGGCACTACCAGCAATGGGGCTGCCATGTGCTCAGGACAGAAGAGAGAATTTGAACACAGAGTAGAATATCATACGACGAATGAATGAAGATTTGACCTCAACTTCTTTTTTATCATCACTAGTGGCTCAACTCGATCTTTATGCTATGTTTCCTGGGCTGAAAGAAGTAGGAATTCATCTCTTGCTACTCCCAGTCACAACAGCTACAGCTGAGTGTTCTTTTTCATCATTGAATAGAATTTTGTGGTTTGAAAGAAGTCGCCTTTTGCCTGATCATGTGAATGAACTAATGAGCATATCAGTTGAAGGAATGGAAGTACTGGACATATGAGAAGCGACCAAAGATGAATGCATTGCATTCAAGAAGTTCATTAACAGAGTTGTGCAAAATTAGAACAAGAAACCAAGAAGGATGTAGACATAGTGCTTCATAGAAGGCTTGAGTAGCCAACTTTAATTTGTGTGATGATTGTAAAATCTAATCAAATGGTCATGAAACATTTTTCAGTTTTTACTATGGTGCCATGCAGCCCACCTTCACCCTCACAGTCTCACCCCTCAGTGGCCCTGACCTGCCGCCCCCCTTGTAAATTTGAACACACACACCCTAATTTCAATTCCTGGGGAAAACACTGCTCCTATTCTCTATTCACCTTTTCCCTTGTTGATTTTTGCAGTGCTTCCCTCTGAGTTTCATAATCATAGAATCATAGAATCATAGAATATAAGGGTTGGAAGGGACCCCAGAAGGTCATCTAGTCCAACCCCCTGCTTGAAGCAGGACCAATTCCCAGTTAAATCATCCCAGCCAGGGCTTTGTCAAGCCTGACCTTAAAAACCTCTAAGGAAGGAGATTCTACCACCTTCCTAGGTAACGCATTCCAGTGTTTCACCACCCTCTTAGTGAAAAAGTTTTTCCTAATATCCAATCTAAACCTCCCCCACTGCAGCTTGAGACCATTACTCCTCGTTCTGTCATCTGCTACCATTGAGAACAGTCTAGAGCCATCCTCTTTGGAACCCCCTTTCAGGTAGTTGAAAGCAGCTATCAAATCCCCCCTCATTCTTCTCTTCTGCAGGCTAAACAATCCCAGCTCCCTCAGCCTCTCCTCATAACTCATGTGTTCCAGACCCCTAATCATTTTTGTTGCCCTTCGCTGGACTCTCTCCAATTTATCCACATCCTTCTTGAAGTGTGGGGCCCAAAACTGGACACAGTACTCCAGATGAGGCCTCACCAATGTCGAATAGAGGGGAACGATCACGTCCCTCGATCTGCTCGCTATGCCCCTACTTATACATCCCAAAATGCCATTGGCCTTCTTGGCAACAAGGGCACACTGCTGACTCATATCCAGCTTCTCGTCCACTGTCACCCCTAGGTCCTTTTCCGCAGAACTGCTGCCTAGCCATTCGGTCCCTAGTCTGTAGCTGTGCATTGGGTTCTTCCGTCCTAAGTGCAGGACCCTGCACTTATCCTTATTGAACCTCATCAGATTTCTTTTGGCCCAATCCTCCAATTTGTCTAGGTCCTTCTGTATCCTATCCCTCCCCTCCAGCGTATCTACCACTCCTCCCAGTTTAGTATCATCCGCAAATTTGCTGAGAGTGCAATCCACACCATCCTCCAGATCATTTATGAAGATATTGAACAAAACCGGCCCCAGGACCGACCCTTGGGGCACTCCACTTGATACCGGCTGCCAACTAGACATGGAGCCATTGATAACTACCCGTTGAGCCCGACAATCTAGCCAGCTTTCTACCCACCTTGTAGTGCATTCATCCAGCCCATACTTCCTTAACTTGCTGACAAGAATATTGTGGGAGACCGTGTCAAAAGCTTTGCTAAAGTCAAGAAACAAGCTGCCTCCAGTGAGAAAAACATCTTGTATAATTTTCTAGCTAAACATGGAAATTGTTTTCAGAGCTTGGAGGGCCTCAAAAACGAGAATTAATCATGGCTCATAAGCAATGTGCACAGATCAGAGCTCCTAGAAAAGGAACCTTTCTTTTTTTATCGTTGTTATGGCTCAGGGAGACAGAATTTACATAAACTCCCCATCACTGAGTTTAAATGTAGTATGAATCGTCAAAATATGAATAATTCTTGCTCCACATGGCATCTACCACCTCCTGAAAGTTAACCCAAGTCCCACAAGTACTGCAGTCTTTCTGCAAGCCGAAGCCCACCAGGACTGAGGATTTCAATAGGCAGTCCATTCCAGGCCATGCCCAGCTGTTGCTGTTAACTTTCCAGATGTGCTGACAAGCCTTTTTTAATTTTTTTGTCTAGAGAGAGAGAGAGAGGAGTGAAATATACAAAGAGAGAGAACTCCTAAACAAATTGAAAATCTCTTGAACTTGCATGCCCTGTTGCAGCAGGTAATGGTTAAAGTGTAATGCTTCCATTAACTTCCATTCAAGCAATGCATTCTGACACCTTGAGCTGTGCTTTCTAATAGCTTTTAGTTTATTATCAAGCCACTTCCTTAATGCACTCTAAGTGCCTAGTTATTAACG